AATATGAATTTAGTAGAATTGCTTCTGTGATATTAGAGATTTGCGCGATCTGATTGGTGGAAGATCGCGTCATATCTCTCAATCATCTCTCTCGAGGTGATTATAGCAGGGGCGCTTAATTTCATAATGGCTGCTTAGCATTTTGTCATTGTTATGCAGGATTGATAAACGCAATGAAAGAAAAATACAATTTTAAAGAGCATAAAATATATCAAATATTTCAAAGAAAGATGTGAAGTTTTCGCTGATTAAATTAGTGTACCTCTTAAATTCTAGTGGAAGTTTGCAGCTTATCTTGATGCGATTTATCCCAATAATTGCAATGGAATGATTTCAAGAATGAAACAAATTAACTATCGAACTCGAGAACGCCATTGCAATTAAACTCAAACAATTATTTGTTTCAGGTTCAGTGAATTATATTAAATAATCTCCTGGGGGAATATTCAACTACATTTACTCTGCATGTTACATAGAACTGTAAAGTATTTCATATGTCTTACATCAAAGCGCTAAACTAAGCTTCTTACATATACATGCCATTAGGTATCTTGTCTAGAATCTCAAATACTACTTTGTTTTTTCTTTACTATTCGTTCGGTTGATTTTATTATCACAGTAGCTTTCCCAACATAATTTGGGCCAAAATTAACTAGTCAATCAATTAATCTAAACGGCACTAGTATTTTTCTTTGTAGGATCCTCGTGAAAGAAAAACAATTATTCGGACCTTTCTTGTGAGATCTCTATCAGATTTGATGATATCAGTTTGTATTATACATTAATCTTATAGTATTCATCATTACTCTTAAAGATCATCTTCTTCTTCCCTCCAGTGAAACACAAAATGAAGTTGAATTATAGTTGTAGGAGGCTAATGATAGGAGTAAAACATGATATTGCAGAGTGACACATGGTTGTGCGTCCAAATCAGTTTGCGTTTGCGACAGGATTCAGTTGAAAAAAGTTAACTGGCAGTTTTAAAAACAACTCTTTTTTAAACTGACTCGACTGGTTGGGAATGAATAAAGAAAAAAGTCTGTTAGTACGACGTGTATAAGTTTATAAAACAACATGTTTTGAATAATTTAAAGTTCATTAATAGAGCATTTAACGGACTTCTTTGTCTTTCGATTAGGAAAAGATGAGATGTTACTAAGACGTGTAATGGGAAATGGAAAAAACAAAACTGGATATTTTCTATTTTCCATATACCTTTCCCCCTTCACCGTTCCCCATTTCACCATATAGTAACATCCGTAAATGGTCAGTCACAGGTAATTTCGAATCGTTGGTTACAATGCATTCACTTCGTGTTTTAATTGATCTACAAGGTTTGAGCATATCCTTTTATGTGGAACCACCTAAATCTTAGATTGAAAATGGCGAATTACTTACGCCAATAATTCCCCTTTTTTTAAAAACTTAAATAAAGTTCCTGAGGCCCTAAGGATAGGTTTGTCTCTTGAATGTTTTTGCGGGGACTTATTCGTATTTGCTGACCTCGACGAGCTCATGTCCATGAATCTTTTAATTCAGCCCTGTGCTGAAAAATTTTCTTTTGGTCGTGCACTAGTGTCATTACTTGACAAGTGGCCCAAAAACCGTCTGTAATTAATTTTAACGTTCACAAAAAGTACTTAGAAAGTTAAAACGTGAGGTATTTGGTTACAGTTGAACTAATCAATGGAACTGTCATTCTTTTATTATCTGAATTTTCTCAAACAATTTCTTCGTGGTGA